ATTCCTTTTAGAGTAGCGTGTTGCGTGACTGGCACTGCCGCAGTCATTACGGATAGGGTGGCTCCACACCAACGGGAGAGTGTAGTAAAATCTCAGACTGCGCATGTTTAAAGCCACCTCAGCACAGACCGTGGTTTAGGAGAGGTGGATGGAAAGTGGTGAGAGGATGGCTTCTGAAAAGCATTGTGAAATTTCGCCTTGGTGGGGAATCAGTTGCCTGGTAAGTTTTCCCTGTGGGGTTTCATGTTGAAACAGATACAAGTCTTAAGTCAGTGTGCCTAGGATGAGAAAGTAACCACTGAAGTGTCAACTTAACATGAGGGAAAAGAATAAACAGAAATTCCACTTGCTGGGAAGAGAAGAAATGATAAGCAAACTAAAGTAAACAGGAGTCACGAAATCACGGGAAAGGAGGGAGGGCATCTGTCTCGGCCACAAGCAGCGGGGCTCAGGGCCTGGGTATCACTGATGGGCCGCTGGAACACCCGCCTCGCAGCCCGCTCTGTGTGAAAACTTCTGGTTACATGAAACTGTCTCCTTATTTTTGAGGTGAGTTTTCACACAAGCACAGACCTAAAAGGAGGAGAACTTGAGTGGAGAAGGCCACACAGATGTTTTGAAATTTATTCGACCTGCCTGAGAGAATTTTAGAAGCGACTAATTCAGCAGACCCACGGAAGCTGAATCCTGCACCATCTGTCCTTGATTCATACCCGAGCCCCTGAAAGTCCCCGAAGCGGCAGCAGTGGACCCCTGCCAAAGTGGGGCTGAACGGGATGGATTAAGGCAAGGGGGCTGGCTGAGCAGCCTGCTCATCAAGGAGTTTGATTCCCATCTCTCCCCCCATCCAGGGTTACTTTCCAGAGAAAGGAAAGCTGTGGTCTGGGCATGGATTGAGGGAGTGGTGGATGGATGAGTGCTTACAGACTGAATGCCTGGGCCCCCGGCTCTCTTCGCTGGGACAGCCGCACTCTCAAACCCCAAGAAGGAGCTCAGAGGGGTCTTCTCTGGGGACTCCGTCTGCCCATGAGGGCCTCCCAGGCCCCCAGCAGTTGGGTGCCTGTGAGGAACCCGCTGGGGCACCCAACAGGAAGTCTTACTGCAGTTGTAGAGTTTCAAATCAAATTGTCATTTTAGTGCTTCCTTTAAGTGTAAACCACAAAGTCAGACTCACCAGACTTAAGAAGAAGACTTCTCCCAGGAAAGTAGGAGCCAAAACACACAGTAAAGGGTGCTGAGGGAGACAGAGCATGCACAGGATAAGAATGCATGCAAGTAAATCTGTCGTTAGTATTCTGTGAGAGACTGGGACTGCATCCATGAGAAAGGCCAGGATTCCGTAAAGATGGAATGACTGGGGAAAGAAAGGGCACCATGAAATTTAGAAATGCTAATATGTCTAAAGGATTGGAAGATAAAGAAGGTAGGTCAAAATGGGCAAAAATCAGGTGGAGTTACAATATTAGAGAACCAGTTCAGGATATCTTAACATCCACCTAATAGGAATTCCAAGTGGGGAGAGCAGAGAAAATGAGATGGAGGAAATGACAAAATCAAGCAGATGTCCCAGTCCTAAAGGACAGGAACTCAGGGATTGAAAGTGCTCATCCAGGGCCCAGCCTGGAGCACAAGAGTGACTCCCGACACCTGGACAAGGGCCCACCTGTTCTCTAGGGGAAATGAGAAGCAGTTTGCACTCAGGCCTAGCAGGAAGAAGAGCTTAACACCACTCAGAGCCATCACTGGGAGCTGGCAGATGGTGGAGCAATGGCATCACATTTCTGACAGATAAGTAGTTTTATCCTGACTAATAAATAATAATAAATCTGTAAACACTAAAGGGAAAGGTTCCCTTGTGATTTCTTGATTTTCCTGCATTAACTATTACTTGACGATGACAGAAGATGAGAATTTAAGTCTCTGTAAGTCACATGCCTTGTCATTCCTCATATTTTTTAAATAAAGAAGTAATTTATGTTTAACCAAATTTTAATATTGACTTCAGTTCAGTCACTCAGTTGTGTCCGACTCTTTTTTTTTTTTTTTAGTGCTTTTATGATTTATTTTCTTCGCTTACATTTTCAAAATAAACTTGTCTGAGGCATAATTTATACATACTTCACTTTATGGAGAGGCCAAGGTGGATGGAATGAAGGGTCAGTGGGATGGGTTGGGGCAGGGTAGAACTGGAAGCAATCAGGTGCATCCAGGCTGACTGTAGGGGACACTGACCAGCAGGGAAAGGAGATGTGCTTCAGTTAGTAGGCAAGAGGGAGCCATGGATAGCTTTTGAGCAGAAGAGAGACAGTATTAAATTTGTGCACCAGGAAGACTAATGTAGACAGAGGATGTGCGAAATGTGTCCGACTCTTTGCGACCCCATGAACCACAGCACGCCAGACCTCCCTGTCTGTCACCAACTCCTGGAGTTCACCCAAACCCATGTCCATTGTGTCAGTGATGCCATCCAACCATCTCATCCTCTGTCGTCCCCTTCTCTGGCCCTCAATCTTTCCCAGCATCAGGTCTTTTCAAATGAGTCAGCTCTCCGCATCAGGTGGCCAAAGTATTGTAGTTTCCGCTTCCACATCAATCCCTCCAATCAACACCCAGGACTGATCCTCTTTAGGATGGACTGGTTGGATCTCCTTGCAGTCCAACGGCTCTCAAGAGTCTTCTCCAGTACCACAGTTCAAAAGCATCAATTCTTCGGCACTCAGCTTTCTTTATAGTCCAACTCTCACATCCATACATGACCACTGGAAAAACCATAGCCTTGACTAGACAGACCTTTGTTGGCAAAGTAATGTCTCTGCTTTTTAATATGCTGTCTAGGTTGGTTCTTGACTCCAAGGACTTCCCTGGTGGCTCAGACGGTAAAGCGTCTGCCTACAATGCAGGAGACCCGGGTTCAATCCCTGGGTTGGGAAGATGCCCTGGAGAAGGAAATGGCACCCCACTCCAGTGCTCTTGCCTGGAGAACCCCATGGACCGAGGAGCCTGTTAGACTACATTCCATGGGGTCGCAAAGAGTCGGACACGACTGAGCGACTTCACTTCCCTTCACTTCACTAGGTTGGTCATAACTTTCCTTCCAAGGAATAAGCGTCTTTTAATTTCATGACTGCAGTCACCATCTGCAGTGATTTTGGAGCCCCGAAAAATAAACTTGGATAGTTTCAAAAAAATTACCTCCCATTCATATTTTCTTTGCTTGCTACTGGAGGAAATAAAGACATTTTTGAGGAAAGTTTAGCTTTTAATTAGTGGTAAGTGCATAAAAAGCTAAGCAAATGGAAAAAAGATTGGGAGTAAAAAAGAAAAATGGAAGAAAGGAAATCTAATGGTAGTATATTACATGGGTAAGCAGTGGATAAAATTTGTATTGTAATAATGTAGACATTGAATATTGGTCTAATCAAAATTATCAATATATCTGAAAGGCGGAGATGAATATAAAGAAAGGCATTAAAGACAGTGGGGGTCATGATGTAATGATAAAAGGTGGGGTTTGTGAGGGACATGCTGCAGTTTTATAGAAGCTCCCAAATCTTAGCAAATACAAACACATAATGAAAAAAAAATCTTAAAAATTGAGAAAAAGCTAATCTATCAAAGTACAGTTGTAGTGGGGGGTTGTTAGTTTGCTCATTTCAGAATTTAGTAAATAAAATAGAAATGAGCTTCCTGAGTGTTTCTGATAAAGAATCTACCCATCAATGCAGGAGATGTGAGTGCAATACCTGGGTTGGGAAGATCCCCTGAAGAAGGAAATGGCAACCTACTCCAGTATTCTTACAGGGATAATCCCATGGACAGAGAAGCCTGGAGGACTGCAGTCCGTAAGGTTGCAAAGAGTTGGACATGCCTAAGCGACTGAGCACACACGCATGGAACTATACAAAGCATTGGAGAAACAGCAGAAAATATGAATAGGGCATGCATTTAAAGTAACAACAGGAAAACATCATTTGCCCTTCATACTGGCAAAACTTCAAGAGTTACAACATCCACTGCTGGGAAGACTGGAAAACATAGATCTTCTTGACTTATGATGGGTTACCTCCTGATAAACCCGTTGCAAGTTGAAAATACAACCTACCAAGCACAGTTTTCCCTGGCCTACCTAAAACGGGTGCTCAGAGCACTGAGGTTATGGAACTTGCATTAGCCTAGAGTTGGGCCAAGTCATCTGATACCAGACATATGTTATAATGAGATGTTGCTAGAAATATAAGTCATTACAATAATTTATTATAATCACACTATTTCAGGGGGAAGTAACCTTTAAATATCTTTTAAAAATGTTAATGCTCATATTGTTTGACTTTGCAGTCTAAATTTTGAGACTCTGTCCTACAGAAATAATAAAACCAGAATGTGCTGTATGTGTCTAGAAGAATGTTCATAGTGGCAAAAAAATTGAGGAATACCTGAATATTCATAAACAGAATAATTCTGGATAGAATTGACATATGTCCATACTCAAATATTTATTCAGCTGTTAAGTTGGGGCTGTTTGTCAGCATGGACATATCATTAACTAGGAAAGCAGGTGGTGAAATAATGTCTGATTTTCCCTATTCTTATAAAATATATAGTGAAGACTGTGAATATGATGAAATATGTATCTGTGCGTATGTACATGCAGATGAAGAAAGCATCACCCAAGCTGCTGGCAAATTGTCCCATTTGGGAGGTGGGATGATGAGGCAATTTTGATCTTCTTTCACTTTTTATTATAAGCACGTGGTACTTTTGTAATTAATTAAAAAATTAATAATAAATCAAATAAGAATTTTACCAGAGAAAGACTTTTTCTAGGAATCATGTAGTGTTTAATCAGCAAGAACTTGGAAGTTTTCGGGGTACAGAAGTGGATGTGTGTTTCTGTGAATCACAGCAGCCTCTGTGTTCATTATCAGTAATCAGGATTGGCAGTGTGTTTTTTGGCTCTGAGCTCTGCTGTTTCACTTCTAAAACGTGCTTGCTTTCACTAGGACTCTCTTCATCAGTGGAATATAACGTAACAGAGTTGGAACAAGAACTTGAAAATGTAAAGATTCTGAAGAAAAAATTAGGTATTGTACATTTTTTTTTCCTTTTTCCTCGACTTATGTATTGGACTTTGTTTCTTATTAAAGACTACTGTAGTCTGTAATACTTTTAAGAATTATGAACTCTCTATGTTACAAGCTTTCAGTCTGCCCAAAACCATTAATAAAGAATGTCTTTTAGTTTGGAGGGAGGATGAACATGGATTTATTCACTTTTTATAGTTGCTGTTTTGTATGTGTACAAAATGAGTTTTCATAGATGATGATGCTCAAATATATCACTCCACTATCTTTTTCACTTGTATTATTTCTGATAAGTAATCTTCTGTTATTCTTACCTTTCAGTGCCTTTTTTTCTTTGTATTTATCCTTCCCTAGGTCTGTGGCACATCATGAGTACGTGGCGTAGTATCTCTCATCTACTTGGGCAGTTGTTGGTCGTTGTCTCATCAGATACTGCAGCTGTTCCTTTTCTTTCATATCCTCAGACTTCAGTTAGAATATGCTGGACCTTTTCCCTCTTAAATTTTTTGTTTTCTTTCATTTTTAATTGATGTACTTTGGTCTGGTATTTTCTACTGATCTGTCTTCCGTTTCACTCTTTTCAGCCATGTTCCAACTGTTGTCAGAACTCTCTGTTGGACTCTGAAGTTCAGTTACAGTGTTTTCAGTTCTCGGATTTCCATTTGGTTATTTTTCTTGATTCAAATTGTGACATTTTCCTTTTTGTTGCTTATATTGAACATATCAGTTATTAATAGTTGCTTTAAAATTGTTTTCTTTCATGTCCAGTATCAGGATCTGCTGAAAGCCCGCTTCTGTTGTCGTCTTTTTCTCTGTCCTTCCTCCTGGTAGCATTCCTCGTACAAAACCATAGAGACTCTGCATGATGCTTTGTTCTTACTGAGAGGATTTACTCTCACTTCTGATTAGAGTCAGGGTAGGGACAGGTCAGTCTAGTCTCCTGTCTGGGCCTAAAGTCGTTTGAAACTGGGTTTTGCTCTTTGTGAGGGCTTGTCTGTTTCCGGTTTGGCCTTCCTCCTTAGGTACAGCTTTTCCTTGGTCCTGGCTAAAAGCCTGCTTGTTTTGTTGTCGACTCTGACCCTGTCTTCTTCATGCGGTGTAAGCCTGACAAGCTTTGCTCAGCTTCTCTGCCTCCTTCTGCCCCTTTTGGTTCCTCTTCTCAGCCTTTGAGCCACTGATGCCTTGAAGGGGAGAGTAGCTGAGTGGTTTTGCTCTTTCCTTTCCCTGTACCACAGCCTCTCAAATTCTGGCCACCTTGGTAGCTCCAAGCCCTACTTGTGTCTCACTGGCTCTGTTGAGTGTGCTGAAAGCTTTGCTTCAGCATTGTTTTCTTTTACCCCCAACTTCTATGTTATTTCCCAGCCTTGTGGGTCTGTTTGGAAAGTACTGTGCAAGGCAGCATGGTGCGTATTGAGGCTCCCGTCAGTTCATCTGACAGAGAATGGCCCTCAGTTTCCATCATCATGGTGGCTCTCTGATATCTTCACACACATTGCTTTTTAAAAAATTAAATGTGATCCATCTTTTCCAGTTGTGGCATAAGGATTGGGGTGATACAAGGTAGACTTTGTCACTAGAAGTAGAATTTTGCTTCCAGCCTTTAGAAAACCGGGAGTGTTTACTTTAGGGGTGAGACCAGAGGGGGTTCTCACCCATGTTACCTGGCACTCCAGACCTCTGCCAGTGTGCCAGACTCTCAGTATGTAAACGTGTAAATGTAAAAAAAAGAGAGGTAACTATTTTCAGGAGTAAGCTGTATATCCACAACATATTTCATTAACAGTTGAACGTGTTTGCACCATTCCCTGGTGGCTCAGATGGTAAAGAATCTGCCTGCCGTGCAGGAGACCTGGGTTCGATCCCTGAGTTGCAAAGATTCCTCTAGAGAAGGGAATGGTAACCCACTCCATTATTCTGGCCTGGAGAATTCCACGGACAGAGGAGCCTGGTGGGCTACAGTCCATGGAGTTGTAAAGAGTCGGACATGACTGAGCAACTTTCACTTGACTTGGCAGTGTTAAGATTTGAGCATCATAGGATTGAGCTGTTTAATGTAGCAAACTGATTTTAAAATTAGTTTGTGGAGGAAAATTAAAAACAATTTATGGCTGTAGGAAAATATTTATGTAAAAATAATACATACTGGTTGTAGTAGTATGGAATGAAAATGTGAATCTGGAGAGAATTTTTAGAAATTGCTGAAACTTGCATTATATTTTGTTTTTCCTTCTAATAGAGAGGCGCAAAAAGGCTTCAGCATGGGAAAGAAACTTGGTGTATCCTGCTGTTATGGTTCTTCTCCTCATTGAGACAGTAAGGATTTATTTGCTGTTAAATAAAGCAAATTATTTTCTGTTTACTTTAGCATTTATGTATGACAATTCCCTCAGCTAAATGCTTTCAGGTAAACTGGTTTTCTGTCAACAGGCTTAAAATCCATGTATGCTTTTTTTTTTTTTTTTTTTTGGTAAAAACTCAATAGAGCAAGAATTAAAATTAAGGGGAATTTTTTAAAAGTTCTCAAGATTATCTGTTTCCTCATAAAAGTGGGAAATTCATTCTTTTGTTTCAATTGAAAATTAAGAAGAGACATGGTGTTGCTGATACCCTGCTCAAACTCTGTGATAGGGTATGAAAATTATTACATTAGTTCTGATAACATTTTAACCATTTGTTAAGTATGTGCAGTTGGGTTTTTAGTTGGTGAAATCGGTTAATAAGTGGACCTTTGTTACTAGCTTTTATCTTAAGCTTTGAGATTACAATACTTTGCAGAATTTTTGAGAATTTATTCTGAAATTTTTATAGTCTCATTATTTCAGGTTTATATGTAGAATTTTGGTCTTTACTGCTTTTCCTCTATTCTGAAGCATACATTTGGTTGGTTACTGAGATTTTAATATATGTATATTGGCAAAATATCTTTGAAATTCAGAACTGATGGCTTACTTTTTTTGTTGTAGTCCATTTCTGTCCTCTTGGTGGCTTGTAATATTCTTTGCCTGTTGGTTGATGAAACAGCAATGCCAAAGGGAACAAGGGTAAAGTAAAACACTTAATGTCTTTCTTTTGCAAAAGTATTCTATGTCTACCCTGAGTGTTTCAAATAAGTAGATGAAAGCATTCGCCTTTATGTATATATATACTTCAAGCTGTATGAACTTCTTTATGCAAAGCTTTCATAAACAGTGTTTATAAACTATGTTTTTTGTTTCTGATTTCTTATTTTAGATTGTCTGGGCCTTGTATCAAGTATCAGAGTTTCCTTTTATACTTTGTATTAGAGTTTATCTTTGTTTTATTGAAATTCATATTTGTGATCCTTTAAGAAAATGTATATTCTGTGAAATAGTGAAATATAAAGAGTTTTTATTGAAATGATTGGATGGCATCACCGACTCTATGGACAAGAGTTTGAGTAAGCTCCGGGAGTTGGTGATGGACAGGGAAGCCTGGTGTGCTGTAGTCCATGGGGTGGCAAAGAGTCGGACACGACTGAGCTACTGAACTGAACTGTAAGAGTTTATTAGATGGATTCATTGAGTTTGCAAAAGATCCAGATATGGTTGTAAGGACTCATGCTTCAGAAGAGTTAGACATTGTGTGAACTTGAACCAAAATGTTCAATTGCTGGAGGGAGTCAGATGTACATCTTTTCACAAAGTAACTTAATTTTTTCTCTTTTTAAAAAATTAATGATTTTATTAAATTCCAGCAGTTAGTCTATTTATATATATTTTCCATATGGAAGGTAGTTTCCACTAAATACTCATGTAAGCCTTTCTTTTTCTAGGTGTCCTTATAAACCTTTAGATACTTAAAGTAGCCTTTAAGTTTTGACATTTTATTACCCTTTTTGAAGTTAGCACCTTTGCCATTTCCCCATAGAAATGACTCCAAAACTTTTCCAGAATTTTCATTCTTTGGGGGGAAAAAAAATTTCCTTGACCCTTTCTAGGATCTTCTGTCTGGTCTAAGAATTGAATTGAAATGAGATAGATTAACAGAAGAAAACTATTAAATTATGTGTATGAGGGAGCACTGTAAGAATAATGAGACCCCAGGACAAGTTGGGCAACTGAGGCTTATATTCCATCTTAGAGAAGAAGAGGGTAGGAGCGTGGGACTTTGAGGGGAATGAAGGCAGTTCTCCTCGAGATGGAAAAGCAGCTGTTTGGTAAACAATTGGGACACAGAACAGACTTTGGTCTCCAGGTCCTGCCAGGTTCCTGGGCCACGCTCAGCCCTGGCCCTGGAGGGTCTGGTGATGGTGCTTCTCGTGGGCCAGGGCCTCTGTCCATGTTCTTTCAGGCAGTTAAGGGGTGAAGTGGAGGCGGGCTAAAATTGAAGGCTGACTGTCTTCTGTTTCTTAAAAACAGTCAGCCTGAAATGACCCTCATGCCAGAGAGATGCCTTTTGGGGTAGCAGACTTTGCTTCCCTACACGCCACTTCGCTCTGCACCATGTGATCCACTTTTTGTCTCATAGAAGAAAGCCAGTATTTATCTTAATTCCTTTCCTTCAGTCCAAGATAAAGAACCCTGTTCTTTGAGAAGCGAATTCTTTGGGCAGTGTTTTCAGTTTAACCCCCTGCCCCCAGCCCCTTCAGCGCCTGATCACCTCTCACTGCTGGAGCCTCGCAGCTTGCTCCAGGTTCCTCATCCCGCTAACCAACAGCAACAGGGAGCAGCCCTCTTCCACCGGCAGCCTCGTCCTCATCGCTGTTTAGACACAGGTCCGCTGATGGAGCAGGGAGTCCCCTACCGTGGTGACCTCTGTCCGCTTTTTAACCCAGTTTCATGTAGCGCACGCTGGGTAAGGCCCAAGCTCCATGATACACTTTTGTGCCATCCCCTTCGTGCATGGTAGACAGGGACATACACGTGGCAGGCTCTGTTTATGATTGTGTAATAAAGTCAGAGCTTCTTAATCCTGCCTCTAGGCCTTCTCTTGAGACAGAGAGTGTTTCCAAGGTGTTTTCCACCTGAGTTAATAAGATTTCTATTAGTGTTATTTATTTTTCTTCAAAAGATTGACAAAAGTTGACAAGTTCTTTGTCCCTTACCTATTTATATATGGAATTTCAGTGAGTATTCTAACTTCTGTATGCCTAAATTAGACTGCATAAATAATATGTATTATTTATTGTTTTTTGTTTTTTTCATTAGGCTGACTATATTCCTAATTATCCTGGTATATCTGTTACATGTCATTGAAGCTGATACCAGAATAGTAGTTCGTATTCAGAGTTGCTTTAATTAGTAAGCTTCGAAAAAATTGTTCCTACTTCAGTAAGAAATGATTTTTTGGCCTGATTAATAAATACTACTTTTCTTGCTTGTTCTGTTAAATTCTAGATAAAGGTAGGTTTTGAGAATAGATAAAATGTTTAGGAAAAAATGTGCAGCATTGCATTTGAGAAATCTGTGTTAATTAAATCCCTGAATTCCTTAGGGAAATGAAACTTCAAGAGCAGTAACAGGATACGTACATTCACCATCTTCCTTTGCTTAGCTTACTTCTGACATACTTTAATTGTATACTTTTTATATGTTGCCTCAGGGTTCAGACAATTACATGTTCTATTCTTACTGTACTATTATATTTAAAGATTATTTTCCCAAGAGCATTTAGGATTTAACAATAAACCCAGATAAAGAATCTACCTGCCAATGCAGGAGACTCAGGAGATGCGGGTTGAATCCCTAGTTCAGCAGGATCCCCTGGAGGAGGAAATGGCAGTCCACTCCAGTATTCTCATCTAGGAAATTCCATGGGGTCACAAAGAGTTGGACCCAACTAAATGTGCGTGCACACACACATGCACGCGCACACACACACATAATCATGTCATTTTCATAAGTGACTTAAATTATATTTGAGATGAAACAGAGATGTTTGAGCTTGTTAAAAAGTGTTAGCATGTGGTTGGTTTAGTTGGTGAATTCAGTCTCATGCCATGTTTTATTTTCCTTTGAAAGTCTAGATGTTATTCCAGGGTGTTAAACATTTCTGATTTCAACTGTCCTATATTTATGAAACAGCAATTTTAGGGAAACCAAATGTAATGGTGTCACTGAATTCTGAAAAAAGTTTTTTTCCCCCCAGGGGCCTGGAATAGGAAATGCTTCTCTTTCTGCTTTTGGTTTTGTGGGCGCTGCACTTGAAATCATTTTGATTTTGTATCCTTTCTTTAACTGAAGTTCTGTCCGCTAACAAGTCTTCTATCTAGTTTTCTGGGGTAGTGGTAATTTACTAAGACACTTTCCTGGAAGAAAAAACAAGTGAGTCTTCCTCAAGCACTCCAAGTGTCATTTTGTTTTGTTTTCCTTTGGGCCTATTGAGAATTCAAGGAAACATTCTTTGGAGAGTTTTTTCCTTGATTCTCACAGCTATCTTATGGTGTCCTCTGTCGTCGGTTTCTACAGCCTCCGATTTTTTGGAAATTTTATTCCCAAGAAGGATGACACAACTATGACAAAGGTAAGGTACTTTTAAGTCTTAGGTGACTGTGCCCCTCTTTTGCCTTCCAAGACAAACGGACTGTTTTATTTAGTGATCGCCCCGAATGGTTCATTTGCGGTTCTAGGTATTTGTTTGTAAGTTGCGTAAACACACACTGGAAGATTTTCAAAATGCTGAATGAGTGGGAAAAGGATGTGCTCTGTTTAATTTGGATGGTGTCCATTCACTTGTAAATGCGGAGAACCGCAGAGCTTGTTAACCAGCTATAGAAGGCTCCTGAAAGGACCCTTTTTTCCTGCAAAGAAAACGTATTGCTAATGAGTAACTTTGATTGTGCTGACTGTACTTCAGGGAGCTTGTTTGAAATCTGAAGAACTTAGTTGCTACAAGTAGTAGAGACAAAGTATTTCAAATTTGAATAATTAAAGCAAGACGGAAGAGTTCTATTCAGAAACATTTTGTAGTCTGAGGCTAATTTGACTTTCTACAATATGTCATTGGCTTCTGAGTAACAAAGGCTGTTATCTTATATAGAGACTGCATTTGTAAAATATTCCCACAAGCTGACAATGAAGAATCACAGGAGCGGCTGGCTTCTTTTCTTTTTATCAGATTTTCCTTATTTTTAGCATATTCTAAAGGGGAGATATTACTTTTACGTATCTTTATCTGTCTATTTAAATGTTACAGCTTCTTGAGATATTTAGCATAAGTAAACATAAATACTAATCTGTGCTTTTGGCATCTTTTGTTTATATGAAAGGATAATCATAGGATATATTGAAATAGAATTACTAGAATTTAGGTGTTTTAGATTTCTAGTTTTTTGGCTTTAAAGCTTAGTTTACATTAGAAGTAGATATTATATATCTTGAGCAGTAGTCTTGGCTTTAAAAAACAGAATCATAAGTATTAAAGTATTAATTCTTTTTTACCTGTTAGGCGAATGTTTTTGAAATTAACAACCTCTGTCAGTAATATAAAATGCAGTTTTCTCTTTGTGTCAGGTACTGTAAATACCTTCTAGAACTTACCAATAGAACTTTAAATGTTTGTAGAAAAACTTTCTGGTTCTCTTTATTTCCTGTGTTGAATAGTATCATTAAGAAGTTAGCAAAGTACCATAGGTAACTAGGATATACAGTAACTTGCCAGTATGTGAGTGGATTTTACTTCTGTGTACACTGTGTAGCTGCCCAGCATTCTTCCTGATTTCTCATAACAGATCATTGGGAATTGTGTGTCAATCTTGGTTTTGAGCTCCGCGCTGCCTGTGATGTCAAGAACACTGGGTAAGTTTAAATGAGAACTTTCCACGTGAAGTCTGTACCTTTTAAAGTGTCTTTTCTAAACTTCCTAAACTTTTCCCAAAAGGTCTCTCTTTGACATATATTATTTCCTCCCACATTATTTTATACCTTTACTTCTATAATTTATTTGTATATAGGGCTGTACCAAAACAAACACTTTCATCAGATAAACACCATTGATTTTTTCAAATGCTTAGAAATATTCCTTTCCAAACAGCAGTCTTTATTTTTTTTCACTGACTGGTTAAGCTTTTGAGTCTTCTATTGAGGAAACTGTTAAGTTTTTTTTTTTTAATAAAACAATGTTTAATGTCTAGAAAATATTAAACTAATATTTTCCTACATGAAATGTTTTTTAAAACGTATAATTTAGTCTGTGGTTTAAAAAATTGATAATCTGTAAAATGTACTTTAAGCTGCTTTTATGTCCAGGGCATAGACTTGAAAGCAGTGAGATCTTTGAGAGCATTGATATACCCACACTGACTTAAAAGGTGTACTTTAGCTCCTTAGTTTTTTACTTGCCTGGCATTCATATAGTTTTCTTAATTTTTCAATGTACAAGAATATTTTGGTCATCTTTCAAAAGTAAAACATTTCTACTTTGTCATTGAAACAGTTGAATAAATCTTCATTTGATGTTCTTACCTTTTGTAAAACACTGTAGTAGACTGTATTCTCAGTTTATTGGCTAAATATTATTTCAGACAAAAGTTTCCACTAGGCAGTTCTGTTCCATTTTCTAGTCTTAGATTTTGACTTGAGTGTTCACAAATTATTTTTAAAAATCCCATTATTCAACCTTAACAACTAGCTTATGACAAAAATTACAAGTAACTTTGAATTGCTTTTGTTTTAGCTCTTGTGTTGCCTCCATTATTTATTCAAGACTCATAGCTCTCAGGGATGCAGGCTATGCCAGGAAAGTATAAGCTTCATAGTGATAGTGATCTTCATAATTCTTACAGAGAATTCCATATTTTAGTAGAAAGTGAAATCTAAGTGTAAATGTAAAAGGGACCGCCTTTCCACAGACTAACACAAAGCTCATTTACTTAAGAGGTCTTATTTTCTTTGTGTTTGCATTATAGGACTTGTTATTGTTTTGACTTCTGCTTATGGTGTGCTAATCTTGAAAATGCCAAAAAATACATTTTTATAACTTGATTTGTAGCTGTTGTCATTTGTGTTATGGCAGTCCAACAGTTTCTGTGATATAGCCAACCTACCATTTTATCATGTATGAAATTCACTGTGCACTGTTATTTAAGATTAATTGTTAATAGTAACATATACTGATTTTATGGAAGAAAATTACATGCTGAGTACCATTTTAATACAAAGAAAACAAATTAATGGCAAAATGTGCTTTTTGAAGATCAACACATTAAATTCCTGAGTAGTTTGCCATAGAGATAAATAAAAAGAAGAAAAAGAAAGATGGGACAATTAAAATGCGGCTAACAAACGCCTGGCCCCAGCTGTCCAAACAGGATTAATGGAGTGTATTAGGGTACAGTGAGTCATGTGGTGCTTTGCAAAATATCAACACACACTGCATTACATGTTATGCCCAGTGGCACTGAATAGATGAAAAGAAATAAATACGTTAAACAGATTCATAGAGGCTTTTCACAGTATTAAAAAAGCACATTTCTAGACTAAAAGAAAAAGCTTTATTTTAGTATTATGGGAAATGCAAACTAGAGAGTTACTTTGTCATTCCTCTATTAACCCTTTAGAATTGAGTCTTTGATTTTAAGAAGATAAAATATAGAGAATTGTCATGAATATTATCCTAGTGTATAACGGGATTTTGATTTACTAGCTGAAAAGCTTATAAGACTAGAATAGAGGATGTATTTAACAACCGAATTCCAAGCTGTGAAAGTTTTCGCTCTTTCTCATTGCCTCTCACAAGGGAGTCCTGACCTTAGGGTGCTCTCATCTGCTTCTGTGAATTCAACCAGCATTCTCAGTTAAGTAAGAAACCAAGGAACAAGGGCAATTATCACTTACCTGTATGTGTGCAGTTTTTTTCTTATTTTAATCAGTTTTAGTAATGATAACTTTAATTGTAAATTAGAAATACTTTGAATCCTATATTAATCATTTGATGATATTTTTGCTTCAAAAATGAAAATATTTTTTAAAAAGTATAATTTGCCAATTGCTATTGCTGCATCATAAGTGTAAAATAATAGCTTTAGAAGTTGAATGCCTGGTGTGATATGACAGACTTATTACAGAATTCTTCTGAAATAGCTTCTTATGTTTAAATAGAGAAGATTTTGTACTAATTTTAAAAATTGCCACTGAGTAGATTTTAGAAGCATATCACTTAACCACAAAGCATTGGGTTGTGAGGAGCATGTTGGTCATGTGTTCTTAGCCAAATGAAATTAATAGAGAGAGTAGTATTTTGTCCATGGGAAACATGAAGAATCTGTGCTTGAGATTTTTTTATTTGAACTCTTTAAAACCTTTTAAAAGTGATGCCATGCCAGGGAATATGATTTCTAAAGTGTTGTTTTGCTGCCTATATATAGTGCACAGTTTTTGAAGAATCCAATGTTTTGAGGCTGTGATGTCCATATATTTTTAGTAATCAGTTTACTCTTTGATATAATAAACTCTCAAGATGATTAGAGGAGATGGTTGACTAACAAGGGAAAATAGAAGAGGGTCAATCTAATAAATTACCTATAGATGGCCAGACTTTTCTATAATAAAATATTTTAAAGGCAGCAGTGAATTTGAGAATAAATTTTGTGAGATTGCGGACATGTTCTTTGTTATTCTTAATGAAGAAACAACTGAGGGATTGACAGTTTTTACCTTATTCTTTATTTGAAATCTCTTAACAGGAGAAGTTTCCTCAGATATAACCAATAGACTTTGAAATACTGTTACTAATTTCTATTATGAAATTATTTTTATAGTTATGGTTTCATCTCAAAATTCCTTCTGTAAATTATAAGTTATTCAAGGCCCAAGCACAGATATGTATATATATATATATTTTAAATTTATATGGATGCTTACTCTTATTAAAACTAAAAAACCCGACTTATTCTTCCAAGTCAGCTGGAATCTGATTTTGGTATTTCCATGTATTTCTCATCTGGGTCCCCTCTAGCCCAACATCTCTCAGGAGGTGAAGTGGATTATTCTCTTTTGTTCCTTGATGGATGGAGCATGTTTAGACACTGGTCCTTCATGGGAGAGGTCTTTATTCTGGTTTTATGAATATTCTCTAATCTTTACCCCAAGCTTTCCCTCTCCAGTATGAATCAGAAAGAAACGCTCCTTAGACATGACAAATGAGAACTCAAAAGTATAAATCATAGTATATATTCCTAATTATGACTTTCATGTAAAAATAACTCTAAGCTCTGTATTGAAAATTTCTTAGCAAAAAATTGTATATGACTTAATTACATTCTGTTATATTGAAGAGAGTAATAAATGAGTGGTATGACTAACTTTTGATTGATTACTAATGGTCTTATAACTGAACAATAAATTTGTATATCTAATTAGGATTTTTTAATAGTAAAGAGAAAGCATTCCATGCCAAATGTCTGAAAGAATTCAGAGAGTCACTACTGCTCACTCCCTTACCATTCTTGTTCCCATTGTCCACTTGTTGCGTCCTTCTGATGCTGTTCTTATTTCAGAGTTCCTCCTGCCTGAGAGAAGGTTGTATTGACCATACATTATAAAGAATCTAGCCAGCTGTTGACATACATTCAAATCCCTTGAATTTTAATTTGATATAAAATATTTTTCATATGAAGATAATTTCAGTTAGGATTGTTCAGTTGGAAGATGTAAGATGTAATTTTTTAAATGTAAACCACAGTAAGGTTATAATTTGCACTAAGAACCAAGACCCTCCCAACCTGGCTGAGAATACTTAAGAGCACACCTGTACATGGCCAACTCTGAGACCGAGGAACAGATTATCTCCTTTTTTTATAGGAAGTTCTATTTAAAAATTTTTAATAAGTATGTACATGAGTATCCACTTATAAAGGATATTAAAAATTAGAGCTCAGGCTTGAATTCCTTGTGACCACCACTTTTAATCCCAGTCCCCTCTTTAGAGTTTCCAAGAACCAGTTTAACATATATAGTTATTTAAAATCTTTTTCTGGGTACACACACACAGAGACACAGCACTCTGTAGAAAATTTAAAACTCTCACCTGGGTATTGCTTTGTGTGACTCCTAACCTCAGTGTTCACCCAATAGAGTTAGAAGAGGAAAAGGTTTCAAGCTCATTTCTTCTACCAGAATTCAGACAGCTGAAGATGAATTTCAAACCAGAATACTTACCTCTTCCTGCTGAGATCACCTGTGACCTCTGAGTTGCCCAGTTGTGTGGGTTTTGCTATTGTCTTAATTGTTCTGTGGCACTTGCTGTTTGTAACCCCTCTTCTCAGATCTCCTCTTTCTCCACCTTGGGGCACCACTCTCCTTTTCTCCTCCTCCTTCTTTGGCCGTTCTTTAACTGTCTCTCTTATTGCTCCTCAGCTTCACCCACACACTTGTCCTCAGATCCACTCCTCTAACCCACCGCCCATCCCTGAGCTAGGGGCAGGTGACCCCAGCTCTGCCCTCCACGGTGTCCCCCAGCTCCTCATGTGGGTCATCCCTGCAGCAAGACCCGTAGGTGCGTGTGTGTGTGTCTGACCTCCCTCCTGCCGGCTCTCTCTCCTGTCCGCACTCCCTCCTGCCCTTTCTCCCCTCCCTCGTCCTCCCCTGTCGGTCCTCAGGCACTCTCTGTACAGTACACAAGCCAGGGAGTTGGGAGTTACGTTAGACACTCTGCCATCTTGTACCAACACCTGCGGCACTACCTGTTTTCAGCTTGTTAATCTCTGACATTGGGGCTTCCCTGGTGGTCCAGTGGTTAAGACTCTGCCCTTCCATTCAGGGGGCATGGGTTTGATCCCTGGTCAGGGAACTAAGAGCCC